TAGGCAAAGGTAAAATAAAAATTAAGCACAGCTATTTAGATAAGAATTACGCAGCACAAAGGAATGTGATTATTAATAAACTAATACATAAAAAATAATAATAAAAAGTATTCAATATCACGCGATGTAGTTTTTAAACAATTAATTGGATATTTTTAAAGATTTCTTTAGTTTATTTAGAAAAATGTTTATTGCAAGAATGCCTTGTCTAATGAATTAGCAAAATAACTAGAATGTTTTTGAACTTGAGCTCTATTAAATAAATAAATCACATTCTGTTGTTTCACATGTTCAAAGGAATCTCACGAAGTAAATGGTGATTTGTCACTAAAATAGAAAAAAACAATACAAACAGGGTCGCTTTCAGTACAGGCACCTCCTAGGGCCAGATAATCCCTTCAGAAGCTTCCCTTCACAAACAAACGAGTGCGATTTCCTGTTTACAACTTGTTAAGCTCCACTTAAACTTGCGACTGTTTTCCCTCGTGTGTTGTCATAGGACAAGGTGTGAAATTTTTGGTTTAAATTTTAGGGACACTTTATTGTTGCTATATTTACAACAAAAGAGTACTTCTGGCTTCTACTATTATATTAAAAGGGAATATTTAATTCATAGCATAAAATGAGATCCATGAGGTCCATGAGCCTCGCTAGGAGGCGTAAGGGAGCTGCCCCCTCCCTTAGAAAATCGTAGAAAGTGATATAGAAATTATAAAAACTACTTTGAATAGAACAATATTTTTATTTACCCTTAGACAATATCTAGGTTATGTTGCACATGCAAGTTCGTTAATAAATTAAAAAATGTTTTTTTTATTAAATGTAGAGCTATTTCTACTACGGATTTAAAAACTATTATAGAACAGTCTCGGAAGAAACAAATAATAGCACAAGGCTAGAATTTGAAGTTCTGATATTTTACGTAGTAATAGAGTATTTTATTAACTAAAATCCACGATTCTAAATAAGTTCAGCAAAGCTGTAACTTAAAGCATGATGAGCGTAATTTTGTAAGCCATTCTTAACTCTATAATTGGTTTCTACATGAAAAATCCTAGTCTGGATAAAATGACGTAAGCCTGTCGATTACTGGATCTTAGTAGATGGATACTGGCTATATTGTTTATAATATCCCATCGTCCTCGCCAATGTGGTGTACGAAATAAAAGACGTGCGTAAGTTCGAGAGGTATAATTCGACTGATCAATTGTACATAATGCCGGGTACTTACAGACTAGGTTATATTCATGTACCTACTACATCACAGATTAAAATAACATTTATTTACTGGTACGTTATGTTAGGATGGAAAAATCGACTCAACAGATCTCATCTTGTCGTGTCCAACGAAGCGACGCGACCAGAGAAAGGTACTCAGTATTAACATCCAAGTGAAAGTCTTAATTATGTTGCAATATAAGTTTTCATCATGATCATCGGCTTTAAAATGTTTTCAACCATTTTAGTGGCAACTTCAGTGAAAAAAAAACACAATTTAGAGTCAGCATAATTTTTATATTTAGGATTCAGTAATATATAGAAACAGGTGTTCACAGTAAAATAACAAACCGATCGTATGATATTTCGAACAAATCCACGTATTGGAATATGTAAAAGCTGTGGAGATACGTGCAGCACGGTACGGCACGGGCTAGTCCGGGCTCTTATCTCACCGCAGTGTGCTGAAACTTGGAACAAATGACTAGCTACGGAAAACGAAAAATATTCCACAAATATTACTGTGGTTCCACATTTATACAAGATAAGTTTTCGCCCGCAATTTCGTTCGCGTGGAATTAAAATAAACAAAAGTATCCTCTAGGTTTTAGGTTTAGGCTACAAGCTCTAACAAACATATATCCATCTAAACTTTCGCATTTATAATATTAGTATGATTCTATTTTAGGGACAACGATATGCATAAAAGAAGTCAATATTTTTATGATGATGTTCATAACTTTCGTAACTTATATCCGTAATACGATCGTACCTTTGTTTTGTGCTTTAGGCAAACATTTGCGGACCCCCTATTGCATAGGATAATTGAATTTGGGAACGATTGAAAGGTATCCCTCTAGACAGCGGCGACCTTTAACCGTAGACAAGGGAAAGAAATTTATTCTTTGTTTTTACCTGACCCTCTTCGGTGAGGGGATACTTCAATATGTGGAACTCGATTTCTAATAACTTGTACGTTTTTGAATTAAACATTGTACAATTTCTTTTGGAGTAAATATAGGAAAGAGGATTGATAACAGGTACCTTGTAAACGGCCGATTACTGAAACGACATTTAAAGTAACAGCTTCTTAAATTATAACGTAACGCTTAAATTGCGAATACATTTCAAATTACGACGTCTATTACACTATAAGCGGAGAATACAAAGCGCATTTGAAATTCGTTTCAATATCTACTTAAAAGACTCATAATTATATTATCGTTCAATGTCAAGTTAGAATAAAACAGTTAATATTATTGTGTGAATGTTCTACATTCTAACTACTTTTCGTTACTCCATCAGTAACCATTTTACGACTTACGCAAAATGCAGTAAATGGTTAAACAATTCATGGTCACAAATCATCTGAACTTACCTTTCACAAGATAAGTTCACCACTATTAAAATGGTCAAGGTAATTGTAACTTTTAACCTCTGATTCTCTTGAGAATTTTAAACGTAAAATAATAGGTTATTACTTGCTCAATCATCTAACACTAATTGCGACTATCGCGGTTTTATTCAAAATAAGCTTTGAAGAGTTAGATGCAGACCCAAAATAAGGTGGAAAGAGGTAATTAAAATTCATGGTCGAGTGCCAAGATAAAGCGAAATGGAAGAAATTAAAAAATATAGCTGAGCACTATAAGGGATACAAGCTAGTAAGAAAGAGAGTAAACTTAGATAATTAAGAATTAGGAAAACAAAAGCGAGAAAATGAAATAAATATTCGTATACCAAGTATGCTATGAAAATATTTTAAAAAGCTAGTATCAGTCCAGATAGCGTATAAAAGGACAGTTTTATACCATCCCGGTGGCGCGCGGGTTTACGGCTTACCGGTGACGGGATGAAATGTATCCCAAACTTTAGAAGCGTACACTTTGGCCACTGTTGCGTGATAGTCCTTTGCCAAATTTCGTTGGCACTAACTTGCTACACAATCTGTTCATTAAGTTGATTGCGATATTTTCACATTTAATGACGGTAAGGCTTGAAAATCTAAAACATACAGAGATGGAAAAAAGCTAGGTAAAACGATCCCTAGTCACCCTAAACTAAGTCTAAGCTCTAAGTATATGAACCGATCAAAAGTAGATAGGTCTATAAAAATTATGAAAGACTAGCTGTTGCTCGCGACTTCGCCCGTGTGAAATAAAAAAATATAGCCTATGTTACTCATTGATAACGTAGCTGTTTAATGGTGCAAGAATTTTTAAAATCGGCCTAGTAGTTTTTGTGTTATTGAAATACATACAAAAATACAAATCTTTCCTCTTTATAATATTAGTATAAATGTAGATAGAGTATTGTCGTTAAAATGTGTTAAAATTAACCCTTTTTATAAGGTACTCCTTGTCGCGTTCTGAGTTTTGAAATTAATTTCTGAAGAGTATGTACCTCCAAACGCGAGACTGTCATGAGTCTTTATTAAGTAGTATACTGAGTCTTCGAGACATAAAGTTTAACAAAATTCAAGCTATGTTGTTGGCGATTTGTGTACAAAATACTTGGAAACTAGCTGGAACATCGGAATTTCATTAAGTTGAAATCAATCTTTGAGTTTGATGTTTAAGTTACGATTAAGTGCTTGGGTATAAATTAGAGAAACATTTTCAGTTTACATTTTGCAAAGTATATTAATATTAAGAAAACTCTTAACCGTACATTTTAAAGATTTCATTTTTTTAAATTACGAAATGATACGAAAATTCGTAGGTAAAATAACCCAAGTCCAAAAGAGCACCGAATTTTCTGGCTTCTATCAGACATATTTTTTAGACATTTTTTCATATGAATTTTACAGAATATCTTCAACTTAACTCAATGCTTGCTATTGAGTCTCCAAACTTGCGTATAAAAAGTAATAGTAGTATTTGTATATAAGCGCCATCTTACGGAAATAACTTAAAACCAGTCAGCCTTGTTAGTTACAAGTGTATCTCCATGAAAGGAAATCTGCAGAGCTTCAGTCCGTATACAGCGTCTTGAGTTAAACAAGAGATGGCGCTGTAACCATATAGTTGACAACAGAAAGATTGATATGGTAGGCAATGGTAATGGTAATGAAATAACCGTATAAATAATAATAATGAATAAAAACCGAATATTCAGTTTTGAAAACAATTTTTACACAAATTGTTATACTTAGTTCATAGTTAATTAGCGTAGTAGCATCTTCCTAATTATTTGTTAAGCAATAAACCAAGCTAACATTTATTTTTTTACCAATTATCTTGTATCTGGTGATGATTTGAATAAAGATGATTAAGAGTTAAGATAAGAACAGAATCCCTTTATGAAATAGCAAAATAATGTTATTTTAGTAGTTATCTAACCATTGTAATTTTGTGTTTATTTGTTACCTTATGTTTAATTTGTAACATTTAATTTCAATATATTACAAATAGGGTTGTTAACTCAACATCGAAATCACGGCGTCCGATACTAGTTGTTAATATATTTACTAGCAATATAACTTGCGTGCGTCACCTGGAATCTACTCGTCGTAAATTAGGTCACTGTCCTATAAAACACTAGTCAACATCAGAACAAAATTTTCATGCCGCGCTTTATCTCTTGATCCATTTACTTTCCTCTTGATTATTTTTTGTCGCGTCTTATTTTATGTTTGCCGTCAGTTTCAAAAATGATGTGTTTGCAATCAAAGCTTTGTTTTGATATAAATTACAAAGGTGTTAACGCGCATGACGGAAATGTATGACCGCGCACCCATTTCTGATTGGCTAGTTAGTTCAATGTTTGTAAACCCCGTCCGACAAAGCCTTCTCGCATTCGGGTGTGGTCCAGTGTTTTTCCTGGTGGCTTATATTTCCCGACGAAAACATTTATAAAAGGGTATGTCTGTTTTTTAAATTATCATTGCTCTTGCCTTAATATGTTTATCGTTGTTGTTTCGTAGCGCAAATTATTGTGATTTGATTTGTAATAGATTCATCATGGATTTTTATTTATGTTTTGTATAACTCACCTGCACATGCGAAGGTTTCAACATCGATCAATACTATATCGTCTATAAATAGATTTCAATAGTTCCTAGTGAAAATGTTTATGATTGTCATATTTTTTTTAGCGATTACTTTATGAACTAAGTAGTTTTACGTTTGTTATTCTATAAATAATTGTAGGCGACTCTCAGAAATATTCTGTTTGATGAAAATTATACAGCGAGTAACATTTGTCATAGTTATACATCTTTTATTATTCTACCTATATCATGTACTCAGTAGTAAGATAATTCTTATGGTGCGAGTTTACCTGTTCTTCCCGCCTTTATACTTGTATCTATGACATTATTTGTTATCTTTTATGTAAAAAGTTTAAATAAATAAAACAAATCCTTTCAATAATAGACAATTTTAGGATAATAAACGACATGTCTTGTTTCTATTTCAGAATTTGCAAACAAAATGAGTGTAAAAGAGGATATATCTACCCAAACTGGAGCTTCTAATGATGAAGCTCCTGATAATGGAGCTGTCAATGATGAAGATAAAAATGATAAGGATAATGATGATGAGATGAATAACTTGGAATGTACCTGTAATCAAAACAAGGAAAGCAATGATAACAAGGATAATAATGACACGAAGGATAATGATGATAACAAGGATAATAATGACAATAAGGATAATAATGATAAAAAGGATAATGAAGATAACAAGAATAGACGTCTTAAGGTTCAACGTATCCCCGTTAATCCACTTCTAACTCCGGATTATAAACTGTGTGATGAATATATACCAGCAACAGCTGAAACCCCAGGTTTTTTAAGGTTCAAAGATATGTGGCTTGAAGAAGTCCCAACCATAGTAATAAATAAAACTACCGGTGAAACATACCGTACATGTGAACCGTATAAGAATTGCAAAACAGGGATAATAACAATACGTAACGAGTATGATAATCCAACGGATCGTCCACCGAGACGACCAACGAACTCGGCACCGCCCAAGAAGAAAGTTGTGAAGAAACAAACTCGCAACCCTTTCAAGAAATTCAAAAAGATGTAACTTTTATTCATCGTAATCGGCTACATAGTAGTGATTTTCTCTTTTATGCTTATTAGTGTTAACGTGTATTTTAATATACACTATGTACTTTTCTAGAAAGCAACTACTTCGTTTCTCAGAATCATTTAAATCATCTGTTTTGTCTGTTTTATCCAGTTATAAGTAAAGAGGTGCCAATTTCATTTGTTCATGATTGGATTCATAGTAATTCAGAAATGTCACAGTAATTATTGATATTCATTATTCGGTGTTGTATTCACAGTAACCTTTTCAGATCATCAAAATTATAGGATAAATTGATAATTACCTTTCATTCACAGCATTCGTCGTATGGTATTTCATAAATCTATTATTATACTGATATAAATAAATTTTAGATTCCGTCTATGTTTTATTTCTTTCAACCTGAATACATTTTTACTTGTGACCTTCTTTGGGATTTCCTTTTAGAACTAAGATACAGATTTTAACTTACGTTAGGTTCTTCAGACACAGTTTTCATTACTATTATGAGAGAAGAGGGCAAATAAGATTTAAAATCAACGAGATGCTCCACAACGCTTATGGACATCCGAAATCATAGATAAGCTCTGTAGCTTCTGTATGCGGTATGAGCTTATATTTCAAAGGTTATTTCATGGTTGATTTTACTAAAAGTATTCTTAAAGTACTGGTCGATTATCTTACTTATATCATAAATGCGAAAGTTTAGATGGATAGATGTTTGTTAGAAATTGTAGCCTAAGTATATCTGAATTTAATTTGACATAGATATAGAGCATAGTCTGGAAGAACATAAAAATTACTTTTGTTTTTTTTTCTTAAATTTCACGCAAAGTCGCGAGCGATAGTCAGATTTTTATAAAATGCTTGTACACTTAGAATGTTTCGTTTCCTAGTCAAAAGATGGCATTATTGAGCAATTTAAAAAAAAAAACAATTTTTTGTCGACTAATTTATTTATGTACAATTATAGATGGCGGTAGTAAGTGAAGGTAAGACCTAAACTTAAGATTTGAAAGTGTATTCATTATCCAAGTTCCTTAATGATCATTTATAAATTTACTTTTTATACCGAAAAAAGGATGAAAGCAATCTACAAAGCAAAATCTACAAAGATTTAATCAAATTTTTATTATTTATACTTCTACATATTTCGATATCTTGTAACAATAAAAAAAGTAAATCGAAAACAGTTCCAAATAATAATCACAAAACTGTTGTTTTCACAAACATTCAGAATTCAGATGGGAAAATAATTAAATAAATATGATATTACATTTATTATGCCTCAAACTACACATAAAACATTTATTTCAGTTACAACCAAGGACTTTTATTAACACACACAATTATATTTTACAGTAAACGTAATTCTGAGAAAAGGGTTATTTGTCCGAGATCACCTCGACGGGAGCACTGTCGTGCGACGAATAGGGAGTTAATTTTTCTTACGTCATTTCTGTATAATAGTCGAATCAAAAACCGAACAAAACATGACACATATAAGGTATGTATACACCTATAACACAACACAGAATAGCTTATATTTTTTTCTTTAACTACACCACATTTATTTCCAAACTAATTGAGGGAAAATTAAAATTTCTTAAATTTTTTGAAGGGTACGGTATAGTTTATTTTTCGTTCAGCCTTATTTCTTGGGGGCTTATTTTGTGCTTGCATTTCATTGCTTGGACCGGCGCGTGCATATACGTTTTCAGAACTTCCAAGGCTTGCCAAATTATTAGCTCCTTCATCGTCCAAACTTAGATTTTTTCCTTCACTTAGACCAACTTTTATATCTTTAGTTTTACTACATTCACCACCATCATTGAATGTGTTCTGTTCATAGGTTGGAATGTAAGTTATATCATCGTCACTTGAACTTTGATCGTTTTCCTCTTTTAAATATTCAGTTTTAGGTGATTCATCCTCATTATGAATGTCTGCCGCTAACTGACTTAAAATATTATCTGTATCTTCATCACTTGAAGTTAGCTCTTGTTCTTCTTCATCTGAAATGACAAATACGTCGTTTGTTTTACTAGTTTCACCGCCATCATTGGAAGCTATCTGAGGTATTACGTAGTTTGGCTGTTTATTCAGATCTGTAAAGATGTTTTCTTTGCTAACCGTCTCAAGGCGAAGATTTGTAGTATTATCATCTTTAACGCAATAATCTTGATGCTTTGATTCATTTACATCTGTTGAAGGAGACCCGTCCATCTCATGAAAGTCGCTGTCTGAAAATCTAAAAAGATCATTTGTATCATTGCTGCCTTCTTCGTCGGTGTGGAAAAGGCCGCGATCTGTCGTAGTCTGAATTTCGTTTTCATCCTTACTAGTCGAATCACAGTTAGTATCGTCCTTATTTGTTGAACTTACAAGGACATCGTTATTTGTTTCTTCGGAGTTACCTCCATCTGGATTTGCTGCAATATTCGAAGAACCATCGCTTTCATCATTCTGGGATTCTGGTGATGATTTCAAAGCCTTAGTAGCTTCAGTCATTTTGGATCTTATAATTTTCTGTGAAATAAAAATAATACTTTAATAGAAATAAACCCAATCATCATCATCATCGCCTAACCTGCCTTATCCTACTCCCTTAAAGTCGGCGCACCGGGTTTTCGTCCTTCAAATAACTCTATCATCTGTTATCTCAGTCATCACTCCCTTCTAGATCATGTCACCATCCACGCAATCCATCCATCTCTTTCTAGGTCTACCTCTACCGATGTACCCCTCCACATTCATGACTATAGACCGTCGTGTTACATGCGATTCATCCATGTAACAAGACGGATGTTAGAAATAAACCCAATCATGTTTTATAAATTGCATTGACATTAATCATATTTCAATGAGTAGGAAAAGTTGACATTTATTAATTATGCTATAATAAAATTACTCCATAGATTGTTCTTAATTTGATAGACTGAAAACACTACCATTAAATATTTCACGAGAAGCGCTCGGTGCATTTTGCCGACGGCCGACGGCAATAGCTCTACGATTTGACCAATTCTTTAGAAAATCATGCAGAAAGTTTGGTGATCCCAAAATAGATAAAGCTAATCATTCTCGAATTCTGAAAACGTATTTTGATGACTTTTTGATAATAAAAAAATTCTGTACACAAAATAATGAAGTTTATTCGAACTATTATTGATAAGAACGAAATTTGCTATTAAGTAATTAGTAAAGAATCCACACATGAATAAAATAATAATTGTTTAAAAAAATACACTTTCAATTCAAGCATATGTTTCAACATAACTTTAAAATGGCGCTCAAAAAAATTCAAATTTACTTAGCATTTATAAAAAAAGAGTAAAACTTACAAACCAACGTAAATTTAAAGTCAAAAATAGGACAAAAAGTTCCTAACTTATCGTTAACACAATACTTCACCACAAAGTAACAAAAGACGTACGAAATCTCTATTTTTAGATAAAACCTAAATATTCGACTACTATTGTTTTATTTGAAAAAAGTTAAGGAAAACCTTGTTGTAAACTCAAAAGAATACTTACCACTGTATCACTAGACTCGGGAAACTTGTAACACTTCTTTTATGAAATTTTCGACTGAAATGTAAGAAGACCGTACGCGACGCCTTACCAAAAGGCTCTGACGGACGCACTTCGGTTTCATACACACAAAGCTTCAGCCAATAGGGGCTGGTTTCATAAAGGATGCCTGTCATGCGCACTACGAGTTGACGTTTTTATTTTTATTTCGTCTCTTATTAAGATCGAAAATTTGATTGGACAGTACAATTATAGACGGCTTAACAACATTTAACAACATTGTTAACTAATAAATCTGTTATTACTCATAGTAATGGAAATATTCATAAAAAGGCTACGGCGTCGTTTCACGACTGTAAGGGCAAGCCTCTGTGCATATAGTATGCATTTTGTTTGTTTCCGTTTCCAATACCTCGCCCTGAGGACTTTATACAGCGTTATTGAAACAACCTTGTTAAGAAGACGTGTTTATTTCAGAAAACGTTTAAATTGAACGAAATGAAAGGCACGATATGTTACAATTATTTTATTTTAATAAATTTTAATACATATATTAATTATACATATGAGTTTATGTTTTTTTTTTAATTTCTCTATTTTGTTATAATGTGTTCAATGCAAAATACAATATCTTTGTCTGACAACATATATGAATACAGCCAAAGAGTCAGTAAAGGCTTAGTCTTTATTAAATCTATTATCATCGTGTTAATTTGATAAATAATAAAGAGACAAGAATAGATTATTATTTAATAAAAATCTTATAACTTTTTTCACATGTGTTTTTAGACATTTTAAATTGCATTTAAGTAGTTTAGATGTCCGGAATATTATCATCCTTCTTGAAACGTTTTTTTGGTTTCACATCTGGCTTTATTGTTCGTTTTCTTGTCTCCTTTTCCTCGTCTTCATCGGTTATTGGTTTAGATGTAGAATCTATTTCTCCACAGGATGAAGCTGTATCGGTCGGTGCATCGCTTTCAATTTCTGTACCATTATTGTTTGAATTATCTTGACTGTCAGGAGAGGTATCATCTCTGTCATTGTTATCAACATCGCTGTAATCGTTTTCAGATTCATAGTCATCAATTGAAGCGACATCTGGTGTCGAAATCTGGTTATTATTCATAGTAATCCGTGTAGTAAACGTCGACGACGTAGATGTTACTTGCACAGACAAATTCTGTGAAGATTCACCAAGGTTTTGGATGCTCACCATCATTGTGTTATTATTGTTCGTACTGTTATCGTTATTGTTATTTCTGAAAATTTGTAATTCTCTACCTGTGTAAGTCGTAGAACTAATTCCAAACTCATCATTTTCGATAATTTCATTTTCTGATGGTAATATATTGGGATTTTCTTCCGCCATTATTACGTTCGTATTGTTTTCTGAAAAATCATTTTTTTATTTTACTTTTAATTCTTACTTTTCTATTTCTCCCTAAATTATTAATTGTGTTGTGATTTGAAAATTGATTCGCACAATATGGCTAGTAGTCTAGGCAAATGCCAATGTAGCGACGTTGCAAATTTGACTGCGACATACACTGATACCTGTAAATGTGCATTTGTGTATCCCCGAGAATACAAGTATGAAATTTGATTCCCCCGCTTATAAAAACAGTCATTTACAATTCTTTTCCCAACTTCACTCAACAACTGGTATCATGGTCAAGGTTAAAAAAAAAGTAATGCATCATGGATTAAAATTAAAACAAAATACGTTCAGAAGATAACTTACTGTTTCAAAACTACGTTTAAAGAAATTAGTATGATTTTCTTCTTTCAAAATACACAAGAACTGTTCGCGTCGCCGCTCCCGAAGCCTCTGGCGAGCAGCATTTATTTTCAAGACATCTAGAACATGTTTCAGCCAATCGGGAAGCTTTTTGCGTTTACTCGTCATACGCCATATTAGGGTGAGTTTTCACTGTATTAACACCAATATTACGATAATATTATCGTCCGTTTCCTTCTCTTGTAGAAAAACAGAGATAGCGATGTTCGAATACAATTTTCACGTCATTTGAAAGTCACCTTTACTTGATTCTTGTATAATGTTGTTTTGATATTTACCGTTTGCTAATGATCATCTCATGAAAACTGGTGCATAGTCTTATCAGTGGTTATGATAATATTAAAAATACAACTGTTTTATACAACATTTTACCTAGCTAGTGAACTCACGAATTTGTAGGCTATACAGTTCTTTCTTCTAAACTTTGAAAGGAGATTAACGGTAATAGAAAGCACCACTTCGCATATAAATAATTTTCGATATTCGTCTTCTGTAAGATAAAAAAAAAAATCTTTACAGTTAACTCCAAATTCAAACCAATTGTATCCGACACCTTGTTTGTGACTGTTATCGTCTCGGGCTAGTTTTGCATAAAACATGGCCTCGGACACTGTATAATTTCTTTAAAATTAAATCAATGTGTCGAGAATCTTATTGCAGCGAATACGACCATCGGTCGTCTGGTGCAAGTTATTGAATGATTTTAAATAAAATTTTCGACCAGAATAGGTATGACGAACGTCAATGAATTTTATTTGAAAATCTGAAGGGTTTTTCCATAAAAGTAAGATAGTGTTTCAAATACATTTTATCTAAAACATACGTCCATTTGATGCCGTGATCACCCGTGGAGGATTTTTCACAAATCTTGATTATTGAAGCATTATCATGCGTATGATGGTGTGGAAGATGTATGATCAAGAATGGAGTGATGACTGTGTTGACATATGATAGAGTTTTGTGGAGTACGAATACCCGATGTGTCGACCCTACGCGAGTAGAATAAGGTGGGGGAGGTGGTGATAATGATTGTGTAATGTGAACTGGGCCAATAAATAATAACGTACTTATATATCTAAAGCAGTGTTGTGGTACATATTTATGGTGAATTAGATAACCAAATTGACCATATCAATCAGTGGTGATCAGTGTTACAACATGTTAACTAAATGGTATCTTACATTATTTGGAATAACACAGATAGAATTTGAGAGAAATCAATTAGCATTTTAATCAAATATGTTATTATATGTTTAAAGTACGAAACTTTATTACTTACATAACACATAGTCACAAACACAAACGCAGGTAAGAAATCACTTATACTGAAAAAGATTTTTTAATTCTCATATTTAAATATCTTAGTATTAATTAAATTTTAATTAGTAGGAAAAGTTGATGTTAACGAATAATTATGCTATTATAAAATTACTCCATAGATTACTCTTAATTTGGTACACTGAAAACATTACGATTAAATATTTCACGAGTTGCGCTCAGTACATTTTGCCGACGGCCGACGGCAATACGATTTGACAATTTTTTTAGAAAATCATGCTGAAAGTTTGATCCCAGAATACATAAAGCTAATCATTCTCAAGCTCTAAACATACTTATCTTGGTAAATAAAGGAACGCATTTTATCTTTTATAATAATTTATTTAATCACAATAAGTATAAATACATAAGTTATTGAATTTATATAAAGCCTACGTAAGTGCTGCAGCAAAACATGTTTACGACAAAATTCTCGAAACTTCGCCATTCCAGATTTGAAATAAAATCTTCTTATTTAAACCATTTCTTAGAATGTTTATTTTTAAACTTTTTTTCAAAACATAAATAAAGTTCTAATTTACTTTGCTTTTGTTTTTTTACGTTATTTGATAAATACGTGAAACTACACATGAAATTAAAAATGTAGTCAGCTGGGTGAATAGCACGAAATTAACCAACAAAATTTGTAATTAACTTGTACAGCGCCCCACCGATGTATTTAACACAAGCTTCGTCAATGGCATTACGAACACTTTCTCACAAATTTTCGTGCTAGACCTCAGTATTCAACAAAAATTACTACGGCGTATCTGTGCAGTAGCAATACTTCCTTAGCTTTGGTATCAATTATTTAATCTATGCTGATATCTTTGGTAAGTGTCGAAGCTTAATACATATGATAATAGAGATAAATTGCATAATTTAAATATGCTACTGTTAAGACGGAAATACACATGCCAGTAAAATAGGGCTACAACTGGAGTGCCATATATTGTCACAATGTATTCACACACCAGTAAAATATCACCGAGATCGTATTGGTGTAATTAATACAAAGTGTTGTGGATTGATAAGGAGATTTGATCTACAATTAATACTTACTACTTAATACTTACTTTAGAAAAATGTGTGTCTTAAACGAATGAAAAGAATATTAAAGACGAGGAAATAAATATAAAAATAAAGTCTTTCAATGTTTACAACACTAAGTAAGCAAGTGTGTCAGCTACTTGCATGTGTATTACCGGACAAGAGTCAAATTATAAAGTAGATTGCATACGGACTAAACGCTAAGTTATCACAACACTATTCTTATATTACGAAGAAATTGTGCAATAATATATTCTTATAACATATAGAATCACCATCACCAGCTCACTATATGTCCCCACCGTGTGATTAGGCCACAGTCAACCACGCTGGCCCAGTGCGGGTTGGTCGACTTCACACATATCTTTGAATTTCTTCGCCGATATGTGTAGGCATCGCGATGTTTTCCTTTACCGTAAGAACGTCGGGTACATTATGTACAGATCAAAATTCGAAAAATCGAAAATCATATTGGTACATGGCGGGATTCGAACCCAAGACCTGTATATTATAAGTCAAGTGCTTAAACCTTTAAGCCACCGACATATAGAATGATTATTAATAATACTTTAAATATTAATTTAATTATACTTAACTGTACGTTTAATTCCTTAGATATATAATTTACAAATATTTACAGTCTAATCAACCAAAGAAACTATGTACATTTTTTTACATTTCATAATTTTTATACAAAAACTTACAATTTCTATGGATTGTGCTTATGTTGGGATCTTAAAAGGTAAATTTACATCCGTGGATTTTGTTATAAATGCATACAATAAATGTCTTATACTTAGTAAAGATTTTCAGTACATGCTAATATCTGACTTCTATTTCTAAATTCCTGATATACAGCGTGCCTTTTGCTAAACCTTACCTTTGACTAAACTATCGCACAACTATTGTGAGATTGTCGATTATTTTGCAGTCAATTCAACTGTTTACTTGCACAATTAAAAATCGAGTAGTGTGTTCATCATAGCAAGACTAAATAGTTGTGCTATAGTTTAGTTTCAAGGATGCGCTCTTATCAATAAATATTATCACCATGGCACAAGTGAGCTAGAATAAAATACTAATGGTTACAATAAGTCCACAATGGTGGTATAACTGCTTTCTCGATTGTCGGAATACGACTGCCGCAAGGTGAAGCTGATGTTCAGTCTATATTGATTCTTTCGATTACATTGTTAACACTGGCCACCGACAAAGACAAATGTAATAAAAACTAAAATACGATTTTAGGTGAAAAACAAGTGCAAGATGTGACATGAAGAAAAAAAACGTAACATGTCAGCTATGTAATTATATTGTATACTTTGTGTTAAATAAAATAAAGAAGTCATATAAATCAAGATAGTAATAGTTTACATTTATTCACCTGGCAGAGAAGATATGCTTGTTTTAATTACGATTAGTCAACGACCCATATTCAATATCCTTCATGGAGGTCAATACACTCCAATAGCCTTAATTCACACTGTTTTTCTTCAATATGATTCGCACTTTACTAGATACCAAAATTTTCATGTTTTTATAATAAAACCTCACACATTGTTCTATATTCTTTAGCGTTTACTACAAATTATGCTTACTTAACTGAGAATAAAAGTTTTTTTTTTAAATGGTCCCTTTTCATTTACAACCACACTTGACACTACACTGCGGTGTTACACGCATTCTGTAACAAAAGAATTCCATATATCTGTAAATCAATCATTAAAAAAAAGTATACGACCCCCGAAGAAAATTCTATAAATATTTTCGATAATGTAACTTTTTATAACAAATAATAATGAATAGTTTTGTATCAAAATAATTCAAAGAACCGTACTTATAGACGCTAAGCGACCATTTTTAAGGCCGTGCGAATGCTCGCTAAATGAAAATTTTCTCTTAAATTTAGTGATCTCCTTTATAGGGCTCCTACTACTTAGTACTACTTAGGTTTTGACCAACCTTAAGGTGTCACCTCAGTTTAGATTTAGGAAGACCCTTAACTAAACTGTCATCGATCTAAGAGTACTTCTAAGTTGGTTAAAACGAGTATTCATAAAACGACCTCTACCTTAGTAGATCATTTTAAGTATTAATTTTAAAAGGATTACAAAGAAAGACGATCATACAAAAGTTGGTTTATGAGAAAAGCATACTTGTCCATCGATCACACGGTAGTGGGCGGCTGCAAGACCACAGCTGCATGGCGGACCTGCATAGCCGCTGGTGAGTACCTCGGGCAGCTAGACTCTACAGCCGTGGTCCCAGAAGCTTGGGACGGCTGCGGACCGTATAGAGCATCCGCCGGCAGCACTTTTATTTCGCTATTATAAGAAAAGTTTGTAATTTACATTATAAAATTAAAAAAAAAAAACAAGTGACAGATATATTTATTATTTATTTTAATTATTTTACCTGTTTAATTCATCAGTCTTATATTCGACACTACCTGAAATTCAAGAAATTACATTAAATAATATGTTACCACGCTCTTGAACGTTTACAGCATTAATGTTTACACAATTTATGTAATTTGGTTTTAATTCTTTTTTTCAATACGATGATAAGAACATAATGCATTCCTATGTGTATATTTGCATAGTACTAAACTAATCTAAGGGGACTTCATTCTGCTAAGACCGCGCGCACTTCTTTAACCAAACTGTCGCACAACTGTTTAGTCGCGCGTTGCGTAGACTACTCGATTTTTAGTTGGGCAACTAAACAGTTGAATTTGCTGCTAAACAATCGACAAGCACACAACAGTTGTGCGATAGATAGTCCAATGCGCACATGTTTTTTTTTTAATTTCATAATTTACCTCTTCGTCGTCGACAGCGTACCACGACACACAATAGTAGGACAGCAAGCGCGGCGATGACAAGCGCAGCCGCGATGACGGGCGCAGCGCGCGTCGCCTCTGTTACCGAAAAATTGTCTGCGTGAAGAGATATCACGGCATTTAATAATATTTGCTACTCAAGATGAAATACAAAATATAAAAATATCTAACTTATAAAGAACAATCTTACATAGAAACGAGACGTTGTTAATCTTGATAATTTAGTAGTAGGGGAATTATAAGCTTCTCAATAAATTTATAGAAAACAAGCTGTTGCTCGCGACTTGGTCTGCGTGAATTTTTAAAAAAAATAGTCTATGTTCTCACAGATAAATTACCTTTATAACGGTACATGAATGTTTCAAATTAGCCCAGTACTGTTTTAGTTATTTCAATACATACAAAAAACAAATCTTTCCTCTTTATAATTAGTATAGACAGAGAAGAAGTTAGCAATCGGTGCAATACGAAGTTATACTAACCGTGTACAATAAGGGAAACGGTAAGTGAAGTGAATCCTCTTTCGTTTTCTACATGCAATATGTAGTCTCCCGCGTCTGGTGGACCCACGTCGTCAATACACAGCGTGAAGCGGTAACATCCGTCCACTTCTTCTTTATTTAGAGCTCGGTAACGACCTGCGAAAATATAAACAATTGTTACTAATCAACATTGTAAAACATCTCTTCTCTCATTGGAAAAATAGATAAAAACTACAATTACGGTGTGTTGGAAGGCAAAATGCCATCGAATATTATAAATGCAAAAGTTTAGAAATATGGATGGAAGTTTGTTAGAGTTTGTTGCCTAAACTACTGAACGGATCTCGATGAAATTTGGTACAGATGTAGAAGATAGTCTCGAAGGCCACATAGGCTACTTACTTATATTTTTTTTATATTCCATGCGAACGAAGTCGCGGATGAAAGTTACTAAATAATGTCATAACGAATCCAAACATCTTTATTGTTATCAGTGTCAATATTAGGTAATAGACATAAAGATGATACGACCTTTATAAACTCATGAATGATTAGCGTAAAACATCTGAAATAGTTAAATATCTTATTGTGGTATCTGTTAGAGTTGCTTACCAATCTGTGATGGTACATCCAGTCTCCAACTGCTCCACATCCATGTGGCGTCATCTGGCGGTGGTGACGCGCAAACTGTCGCATACACCCGGCCTTCGCCGCCACGCCACGAGTGCACCGACGTCGCCTCGAAGCCCATAGGCGGCCCCAGCACTTTTAATGTTATCTCTTCTGACAGGTGGATTCTATTGAAAACACGAGATTTAAGTACCCAGTACGTAGACATAGAGATTATGATGGTTAAACATACTTCACTAACATTAAACGTGTGAAAATTTGACTTAATGTCTATTTGTTACTAAGTACGTACATTTAAAAAGGCTTAACATTTATCGATTAAACATGTGTGTTAGTTGCCAGGTCAAAGGATAGTCACTAGTATAAGTTATTTATTAAATTCCGCACGGACGAAGTTGTGGGCTAAGGCTAGTTATAATAAAATACATATAATATGAAGAAAGTAACAGTTTCATAATAAGAGCTACTTCTATCATTTCCATAGCATAGATACACGCAAAATTTATAAGAAATAAGAACTGTAAACGGTACTTACTTCTCCTCGTGGCCGATATAATTCTTAGCAACACAAATATATTTCCCGTGTTGGTGATAAGACACGTTGTGGAGTTGAAGCTGTGTTGTAGAAGATATCAAATAATCATCGTCAAATATCTTGTTGTCATTGGAATGTATCGTAGATTCTGGTCTGAAACCAAAAGATCTGAAGTGAGAAAAATGTTAAATGCATACAGTTAAGAGCGTTGGTTCGAATACTATGTGCCAATGTGATCTTCCAATTTTTATAATTTCATATGTATATAATTTACCCGATGTTCTTACGGCGAAGGAAAACATTGTGATGCAACCTGCACATATCGGAGAACAATTTCAAAGATATGTGTGAAGTCAACCAACCCGCAGTGGGCCAGCGTGGTTGACTAAGGCCTAGTCACCCCTAACTTAGAATAGACGTATATTGAGCTGATGATGATGATGATTCCGTTTATATTAATATTAAAAATAGCTAATTTATTTGTACCTGTGATACCATTGGTATAAAGGAAGTGGATTTCCTTCAGCTATGCATTCTAGAGTCACTTGTGAGAACAGATTTGCATCGATCACAAAGTCTGGTCCAACCCAGGTTACTCGTGGTGGAACTGAAATAATTAATATCAAATGTTTTATAACAACATAAAAATTTAGGATGTGGCAATATCTTACATTTACTTACATTTAATGTCAATATCAATTTTAACTGAATCAGAAGTCCCAAGAGAGTTTCTCGCTTGACAACCGTATGTTCCTGCAACATCAAAAATCCTCTATTAAAATTATTATAGAGACAAATCAACAAAAAATAAATATTAAATTAAGCAGAACGAAATAACTGAAAAACAAACTATAACATCGGATTACAAAATAAAGATAAAATAAGTAAAACAAACCCGAGTGATTCCTTGTTACTGGTGCAAGTATGAGCTTTGGGCCGTTTGTTGCAATGATTTGTCCGTTCTTCGTCCACCACACATAAGGTTTAGGGTTACCGTCCGCTTTGCATTCTAACGACAGTACGCTTATGTTCTCTTCTAAACTGGATAGTTCACTTGCATCAGCACCCATGATGGATACTACTGGTACATCTGTTGATCAACGTAAAAGTCAGTTTTACCTTAAAATTTTGTACCATACAATACCTTATGTTATACCATCTGCACATCTTTACTTTTACCTGATATCTTTACCTGAAGGAAAGGCACAAAATGTAAGATTGGTTGGGAAATACCGTTAGATACAGATCATTACACTAGTCAATTGTTTCAAGCAGGAAATTGTACGAATCAAACTTACATAACCGTGCAGTTATGCAATTAACCATCAAGATGTTAATGGAATTGGGAACTTTATGTTGTTGAAAAAACTCAATGATAGGAATTGTTACAATCAGATATCTTTTTGCAAAGCCAGAGGATCAAATGAATCAGATGGTGTAAGAATAGAAGGAAAGAAAAAAGAACTAATAAAGTATAGTTTTATGTCTACTTACACGTAACATCAAGCATAGTATAAGAGTCCCGAAAGTAAGGTGGAGTGAAGGACGGATGGTGGGCTCGGCACTTTAGTCTTTTGCCGTGCGCCGACCTGGTTGCTCCCATCTCCAGCACTGAGCGCGCCGCCCACACCCTGGGTCTTTCTACTTCTGACGCGTTCGTATGACTCCAGGCCGTTAGTCGCTCTCTTTCTAAAATATTTAAGAATGAAAATTTATTTACAGAAGCTCTGGCTGATATACTCCTAGTAATCGATATCAGTTTTATGATTTTTTTTTTATTATTCCCTTGCAGATCAAAAATATCGTACTAAATATGTCCAGGAATCGTTCAAATTGCAAGTCGTGAAAGTTTCCAATCTTACAAGTACAGAGTTTTGTAAAATGAAATTTTAAGATATAAAGATGTGACAATTTTTATTATGCAGGCGATCTTAATACTCGTGCTAGTTTCCATTTTGTAAAAGTTTAAGGAAACTTTTACTACCGTCTTGCAGTATTGAATCTTGTTAAAAACATTAAATTACAATTCTTAAACTTGTCGATATATTGTAAACTTAATTGAACTTGCGTTAAGCATAGCTTTATAACGTTAGTTAATGTAAATGGGCCCTAATTTCATTACTATTGTGTTAGGCTGCGATACGGGTCCTCACAAGATCCTTCTATAAATTATTCGTTAACCTCTTTCGTTTTTTTAGTTAACAATAGAATTCATTTACTAACAAAGTATTGCACTAGTATGATTAGCTCCTTAATTAAGGTGCTTAATAGGCTGTCGGTGTATTCGACAGTATATATGACAGATGTTTTCACATCAATCACTTACTTACGATGGTCAATTATCAAAATAGTAGATTACCCAATGATGCTAGTAATTGACTGGAAGGAGTATATTTTGCTAATAGTTTAAAGTAATCCTAATCATTATCTGTAGTGCGAAATTAATTATGAATTAGAAGTTGACTCATACTCTCCTAAAACAATTTCTATAGCTTTTTTAAGCATACCTCATCTTCTATGATTTTAACATCATTGTTAATTTCGGTGCTCTTTTTAAATTCTACTAAAACACTTATGACTCTTTTCATCTAGAAATCAGATACGGAGGTAAAACTATAATCAAATTTAATCTTTAATTAATGCCTGTAATGGTCTGTAATTTTACTCACAATTTGATCTTGCGTACCTCATCTCTTCTTTCTCATTATAACTAAAGTTTCATCAGAAATTATGCCTTATCCATTTTTTAGAGCATGCGCACATCTTTGACTAAACTATCGCTACTGCGCACACTACTTGATTTCAAGTAAACCAACTAAACAGCTAAATTCGCTAAGAAACAATCGACAATCGCACAACAGTTGTGCGACTGTTAAGTAAAACGTGTGCGCTCATTCTAAAAATTTTAAAAATTCACTGCGTTTATCTTACCTAAATACCACTCGATGTACGCAGGCGGATTGCCGTATCTAGCCTCGCAGACGACAGTCGCTCTGGCGCCAGCGGGCACCGTGATGTTCTGACCCGGCAGCACGTGGGACCCGTTGAAGAGTATCCTTGGGGATTGCGGCGGGACCCGCACAGCGAGAGCGGCGGGAGCACTTGATAAAGCATCCTTGAGTATAAACATATGCACTTTTAAATGTATAAAATGACTTTCTAACACATTATGATATTCAGCAAATCCTAGCTTCAAGATTTCTGTTTTTCATATAAATTCTTAGTTAAATGTACAAACAGCAGTCAAGAGAAAGCAAAGAAGCAATGATAAAAAAACTATGCCACAATCAATTATATCTAGCACTGTGGTTATAGTTTACTAGCTGTTCCCATGCGGTTTCATTCGCATGAAATTAAAAAAAAAAAACCTTTACTCAATTGTTTACATTTATCAAATTCTCATTTGCAAATACCAAAATTATCGTTACCATAACAACTTTTCTACTTAATGTTGGCAGCTTGTAGTTTATGATCCCTTATACCACTCGTAGGTCTTTTCCAATATCTTAACCCTCTCAGTTTAATAACGTAAAAATATCCAGCCTAAAGCATGTCGTAGGTGTAGGGCTTTTTATTGAAAAAAGAATTATTGAAAAAATATGCTGTGATGATGATGTTCCTACGCCACGAAGCAGTGTGTGTTTACGCTTTAGTAAGTATTATATTATATTAGTAGAGAAGTGTAAATAAGTACCTGTACATTATAGTTGCTAGCGGTGACCTGGCATTGCCACTGGCCATCATCCAGCTGTAGCGTGGCAGCGCGTACCAACAGCGAGCAGTCTCCGTTCGCAGCGTTGTGCTCGCCAACCCATTCATACTTACCGCGGTAGATGCCTACTGGCTGGAAATAAAAAAAACGAACTAACGAGGAGGCAGATCTTTTATAAAGGTATAGATACAAACATACTCGTTATTTATATCTACTATTTTTTTTTTGTAGAAGCACTGAAGCACATTGATATAATATGCGATGTTTTATGTAAGAAAATTTAACTATTATACTTTTAGTTGCAGTATAGATGATCGTATATTTGACCGTATTTTCCCTACAGGGATTTCCTCGTTTCTCTCTTTAATTAACAACTGTGTCTAATTAACGTATCGACCATTATTACGCTCCCGTCAGACTCATAACTATTTTGTTATTGAAATTTATCGCCGGATATTCGACGTGGTCGATTCCCAAATGACTAGCCATTGTTTTATAGTAATGAATGTTCGATGTAAAAAAAAATACGCATATCGAACACAGAAAAGTGTTTACAGGAAGAAAAAGATAGAACCGAACAAAAGAACGATGAACGGACTCAATAGAACAGGCGAACGGAATGAAACAAGGAGCTTGCTCCGGGCGTATGAACTAAGCATTTGTTTGCTGCACTGTAAAGTTGAAAAAAATGAACTGAAAAATGTACACCTTTATACAGGCTGTAACTTGAAAGGATCAAAAACTTTGTGGGAGTCTAATTACAACAAATAGAGTAATTTTAAATCTATAGAAAATCAATAAGTTGCCTTGACAAAGCTTTTGATCCGCCTCTCAAGTTACACCCTTTATATCGTACTATTTGTTATTTTGTTAATACATTTTTATAAAAAGACACTCGCTTTCACCCGCGATTAACATCGTTTGGAATTAAAAAAAACAGACTATGCATTACATCTATGGCAAATTTCATGGAGATTTGTTCATCATATAGACTACAAACAAAAGAAAACTAAGTCAAACAAAAACTACAAACAAAAGACAAACCTTACGACATCCATATGTCTGAATTGAATCATTTATAATCTTACTAATATCATAAATGCGAAAGTTTAGATGGATGGATGAATGTTTGTTAGAGTTTGTAGCCTAAACGGCTGAACAGATATCAATGAAATTTGACACAGATGTAGAGGATAGCCTGGAACACATAGGCTACTCACTTTTGTTTTTTTTTTTAATTCCACGCGGACGGAGTCGCGGGCAAAAGCTAGTTTTAGTAAAAAGTAAGATTATACCAGTAACTACGAAATATGGGTAATCTACATTTAAAATTTTTATTTGAATTAGTTTTGATAAAATCATTCACTAGAAAGAAGTTTTGCGTTATTTTCTTTGATTTCTTCGGAATAGAAATGCCTATAACATACTTTTTGCGACTGATCCAATTTCCGTTCTGTAAACTCAATAAAAACTGACATTAAACATTGTATTCAACTTTTTACGCGACAACTGTCGTTAGCAGTTTTGTTTTGCGAAATGAAACCTTCACTAAATAACATATGGCGTGGAAGCCGCACAGGTAGGTTATCGTACAAAAAATATCGGGAAGTAAGTATTACTGCGGAAGTATTAAAAATTAGATTATTTTTATTTACTTCCATGAATGTACGGCATATGGCGTTTACTTTTTAATCACCTTACACTTTTTTTAGTAAAAACATTTACGTAAACAAATTTAATGGAATATTACAAATTATATACACGGCTAAAAACTATTCAGTAGAGGCCTGTCAAATGCATTTCGGGGTAAAGTTACCCGTTTTTGTTTTGTTAGACCTCGGAATAGTTTGATTAATTACATTTATAAAATGTTTTTGTGTTTAATAACAATTATGGCAACGCTACCAATTTTAAAATATTTAATTACCATTTCATAAAATCGAAATAACAGTATTATTATGACTCGAACTATACAATAAAATTTTCACATAAATCATAATTCTTGCAAAAAATAAACTTTTGTGTTGCTTGTTTTCTCTTACTTTATTACTCTCAACTACTTGACCACCTCTCCACCTACCCGATACTGAGGTGAGTTGGCAAACTCCATCCAAACTTTCTTCGCAAACTTTTGACTTTGTGGCTTTTATAACTTATTCTAATGAAAATTAATATAACACCTACAATTGTTATGTTAATGAGTTTGGAATAATTTTATTTAAGTTCGCAATTAGAATGATTGTTAACTAGCTTTCGACCATTCCGTCCGCGTGAAATTAAAATACAAAAGTGTTGTAGCCTTTGTGTTTTTTTCAAACTATCCTCTACGTCATTGCCAAATTTAATAGAGATCCGTTTAGCTGTTTAAGCTACAAACTCTAAGAAACAATCTATCTAAACTTTCGCAATCAAAATATTACTCTTAAAACATATACATATTTTACAAAGCAATTATTTTCATGATTTTGTACCATTATTACTAACAACTTTATTTATCAATTTTATGAAATATGATATACTTTTATATTTCACTCAGAAAGGTTTTATTCCTCTTTGATAACATCAACTTAGATGCTATTATGGATCATCAAAGTTGAAATCCTCAACGAATGTATACAATAGGAAACATTATACAATACGAAGGTATAAGAACAAATTGAATAACGGACTAGACCAACTTCGCTTTATCCGGGAATGAACACTTAAAACTGATTTTCAGATTTCCTCCCCAGGATGCGGAACATTTTGAAATCTGAGTGCAACATCTGTTCTTCCTCTTATTGCTTTGATTGCATCGGTATTGTACTTATTTGCGTGCAGAATTTTGTTCTCAGGTCGGATACTGGTTGGAATTTTCAAGTACTTGAGTTTTATAACGACTTGTAACTGATATCCGGTAATAATCGAGCATTGCAATCTTCAATCATCTTCGAACATATTGACTGGAAGCTTTTGTCTTCGACTTACATATTTATATATTGAAAAATAGATACGACAGTAAGTTACTAAACAATTGCACATTTTAAAGTAAAAAATTGCATCGAAATATATACGACAGTAAGTGACTAAAAATGCACCTTTTTAAAATAAAGAAATGCCTCAAAATATATTTCGATTATCTATAGATAATCCAACATGGACGTCAAACTAATAAAGGCATGTTAAAAAAGACGGTGGCCTTAAGTTAACAAAGGAGCTTTATAATAAGCTTTTCGAACCGCTCTATTGTGATATCGGTTATCGTTGGTACTACTGGTAACCTGACCTATTTAAAAACTGATAATTTTATGAATAAGGATCGGCTAGATTTATTTATGGTGAAGATACACTTCAAGTAAGACTTGTTTTATAACTTATTATTAAATATTACTATATTTTTTTCTAATAGTTTCTCATCACCTCATTCACTTCTTTTCCTTAAGTAGTAGACTAACCTTATTTCTACCTAAAACTTGGCAATGCATTCGTAACCCTTCTGGGACTTTTAATGTGCAGAAGTGGTCATAAACATCACAAGACTCGTTTTCCTCCTATTAAATACTACACTCATATGTTCGATATATCAGGCAACATTTACGGACACTCAAATTATACCTTCGTACGCTTTTCATCATATTAATGGCCTCCCAAATCGTAATGGCGGGTTAGAATCGACGGCGCGTGAGCTTTCGCTGTGCGAGATCAAAATTTATTATCGCTAAGTCATCAGGTTTCTTGTAAGGTATGATTAATGTGTTACGTGTTTTCCAATGTATGGAGGATATGAGAACAATTAAAATTGTATAGAAGTGTTCTTCAGTATCTATACTAATATAATAAATCGTTAACACACACTAACTTGTGGCGTAAGATGTCAGCATAATTTTTACAGTACAGTATGTTTTTTAATAAATAATTCTTTAATAAAAAGCCCTACACTTACGCCACGCTTTAGGGTATTAAACTAAGGGGGTTATTAAATTGAATATAAACCCTAATGTGGGAAAGGAACCATAAGCTACAAGCTGCCAACATCAAGGAAGTAAGATTGCCAAGGTTTGCCATCACGTCATGTGATTTTGACATTTGCAATTGTTAATTTGACAAATATAAACAATGAAATAAATTTTCATAAATTCATGCAGATGAAGCCGCACGGGAACAGCTAGTCAAACATAAATTAAATTTTAAATTTAACTGTCTTCGCGCATTTTTTATAATTCACACTATTAAATCATGTCAAACCAAAATTTCCTAACTTTGAATAATATTTCAAGTATTTAAGTACTTTATTTTTATTAGTATAGATTTTACTTTAGTATATTTAAAATATCTAAGTAGGAAATAGGAAATGTGCTTAATACACTTTATATTACGATCGTAAATATATATTTAAATTCAGTACTAACACTGTCTAAATGTTTGTTCCAGACGACAGTGTAGACAATCGATGGAACGATTCGTACCTGACACGGATTGCACACCGGGCCACTCCTCACAATACGGATTTCTCTTCACTAATACCGCGTACACTTGCTTCGTAATTGTCAATAAATCGCACAAGCCTTCTCGAATACAGCCCTGGGAATACCCGAGGCATCCCTACAAGTGTAAATTCAATATTAACATTGCAATCGATAATGAACGTCAGATAATACATTTTATATAAGATATTTTTAAAATAAAAATAATTTATTTTTAAAAATAATCGAATCATTTAGGTCAGATATTTTTTAAGAGATACAGAACTACCTAATTCAATTGTATTACAGTTATAAAAATATAATCTGTTCGAGTATCATTATAAACTACTAGCTTTCGCCCGCGACTCCATCTGCGTATTGAAAAAAAAAACAAAAGTGAATAGCCTGTGTGTTCTTTTAGACTATATTCTACAAATTTCATCGAAATTCGTTCAGCCCTTTAGGCTACAAACTCTAACAAACATCCATCCAAACTTTCACATTTATAATATTAGTAAGATTTATAAAATAACTAGCTAGCGCTCACGACTCCGTCAGTGTGGAATTTAAAAAAGTATATCCTATGTGTTCTTCCAGACTATCCTCTGCGTCTATACCAAATTCCATCGAAATCCTTTCACCCGTTTAGGCTACAAACCATAACAAACATCCATTCACCCTTTATAGAAATATTTCTAGAATTCTGAGTATATCAATCGAGTTAAAAACAAACATACGTTTGTGAAAAAAACACGTTCGTGTAAGGTCAATGAACCCAATTATTTTTTTAGAATTCCTAGTTCGTAACTTACACTCGAAAATTCCTGGACGAATTTTGATTGAGTATTTGGAGTTTCAGTGGCGTAAAGCTCAATTTACAACTCCATGTTAGACGGTCGTTAGAAAAGAATTTCATGCGCTGAACGATTTTTGTAAAGAGACGAAAAAATTAACGAACGAAAAATAGATTTTCATCTATTCTGAGAATTACGAGTACGTTTTCGATTTATCTGTATGTTGATTTTCAACGAAACATTTGACAAACGAATATAAGATAACAATTTTAATTGCCTCATCTTACTTCTTGTAGAAAAATTCACTGACATTATAAATGCGAAGGATTAGATGGATGGCTGTTTGTTTGTATTCTAAACTGCTAACTGAATCATGATGAAATATGGCATAGATGTAGACGATAGTCTAAAGGAACTCATAGGCTAATTACTTTTTATAACGGAGTTGCTGGCGAAAGGTAGCAATATATAAATAAAATTTTATTTCAATAAGCTTTATTGTATATTATATAGATCCAGAAGAAAACTATACAAATGCTTCTATACTGTAACTCTAAGAACAAACTATTAAATTGAATGCACCGCGTAAGCAACATTAACTTCCCCGAGCTATTATGTTTAGATAAAGCTCGTCGCGAACTTATATCTGACTAGCAATTCAACAACGACGGCTTTTACAAGAAACTTCATTTAACAGTTCCCTCACGCAAACAGGTAAGAGTTAACAGAGAGATTTCCATGCATAATGTTAGTTTAGTAAATACGAAATAGTGTAGAAATGTTGCATAGCATTTACTGATAGATTTATGAAGGACTAGCTTTCGTTCGCGACTCCTGCCGCGAGGAATTTAAAAAAAATCAAAAGTGAGTAACCTATGTGTTCTTCCAGACTATGCTCTACATCTATGACAAATTTCATCGAGATCCGTTCAGCCGTTTAGGCTACAAACTCTAACAAACATCCATCCATCCATCCGTCTAAACTTTCGCATTTATAATATTAGTAAGATTTGTATGAAAAATCCAAAGGTACTATTTGAATACATATTGAGTACAGTTAGGGCTTTTCGTGGTGTTTCCTTAAAGAAACATTGCCTTGTTCTTTGCAGTGCGTTACGAAAACTAAGGGATAATAATTAAAAGCAATTAGTCGTGTACCAATCCATCCAATCCACAAAGAAAAGCTACATCATATTGGTTATTATTCCATCTTCTCAATACGTATAAAACGTATCAACAAATGTCGCTTGTAAGTTGGAACACGTGAAGATTCTCCGATTGTACATACGAAACATCTGTACAAAAATATATTTTTATCTCTATTTTTTTCGAAGCGCAGAAAAGGATGACAAAACGCAGGATTGACGGTCGATGTGATAATTACACTTCACTGTAAACAGTTTTTTATTAAACTAATGGATACAAATTACGGAATTAGGACAGTAATTAGAAAATGACCAATTTTAATTGCTTCCTTACTTGTCCTATGAATATTCGAAGTTAATGGTTTCGTAGGACGTTTATAAAGATAAAAGATTCTTATCGAATAAATCATTTTGTCGATTTGTTTGGCTTTCATTAACGGCTTCTATGAAGCAATAATACACAGTTGATAGTATAGGCGAAAGATTACACTTCTGGTCTTTTTTACGTATATAAATTAAAAGCACTAATTAACAACGTCTTTACTAGACTTTTTTATGGTATTGTATATATTAGTTACTGTTTGATAACGAAAATTATTTGACAAATTTTATTCCGCATGTAACAATTTAAATGTTTTCAAGTATTCCAGTCTAAAAATTTTCCTCGTCTAAACACATTACCCAAAAAACGTAAAAAGGTCAACCTTGTAAGTCTAAAAGAAGTCCCTTTTAAGACTTCTCTTAAAGTAAAAAAAGCGTTTACCTTGTTGTCTTTCTGCCAAGAACAAATTCCCTTCTTATCGGATATCCGGCACTTGAGCAGCGCGTCTTCGCCCGGGTTTACTTCCGTGTACGTCGGCAGCTCAGAGAACCGCTGCACGCCACCTGCAATACAAATTAGTAGTACAGACGTGATAATAATTGGTACAGTTGGCATTAATTTACAGAAATAGATATAGGTTTTGTTAAGAAGAAATCGGTATCATGCCGGAGTAGTGGCGCAACACTATTAAGTATGTAAGTCCACTTTGGACATCTTCAATTCTTAAGCATACTTAAACTGTAGAACGATTTTACTCACATTTTACTATTTATCCAAACACTGACAATATTGCAATATCAATTCAACATAGCAAATAATGCATGTTACAGATATTTTCACATAAAGCTATTTATATTCCGGTACGAAAACGTAATCTGATATTAGTATTCGTTGTACGCTGACTCTCGGCATAGCCAGTCAACTGAGAAATGAAAGTAACATTTGTTTCTCAAGATTTATGAGATCACATTCAAGTCACATACCTTCTACAATAGACCTCTTGAAATTACAATCTAGAAGATTTACTATTATTGTACCTCTTTATGAGCAAGTTTAAAACATTTCCAGGTGAGCAGCAAAAAGCTTTGTATCAGACTTCATTAGAAACATGTTTCCTTAATCTTCTTTGAAACATGTTTCTAATTAGAAACATAATTTTAATGGCCGGTAAAAATGACGCCATTTAATACTTGACAGATTGTTCAATTATTACAGCATTACTCGGGATTAAAACTGGCTATATAACGTGCCGGATTAAAATGTTATCGAACCCCGGAAGTAGCCTGGGTATACAAATATCATAAAATTGTTTCGAATAAACTGAAAAAAAAAAACACTAAATCGATACTGAAACTCTGTCAGCCATTAAAAGCGATTTTTTTTATATTTGCGCAAAGCCGAGTTACTAGTACTACATAGCAAAAAAACCTTTTAAAATATACGTTACAATAGCATGAAATTTCATTACAACTTCAACTCAGCTACTTCTTTAATGCCAGGGGAATAAATCGAAATGACGTATTACACAACAATGGAATTCAATATTATGATAATGCTTTTAAGCTTGTTTCATTTTCTAAGATGATATAAAATAACAAACAACTGAAGATTAATTTAAATAACTCGTATAACATTACATATATGAAATTTTCCCAAAACTTGTCGTCAAAGTTCTTAATTAATTTGTTCTTTAGACAAATAATAAACTTTATAATACAGTAAGTTACTAGAAGTATGTAGTTTAACCACCATTTATATAGATTTTTCAAATTTAAATTATAAAAACTTTATTTTATTGTATTAATTTGAAAAATGCTTTGCAAATGTTAAAATTACCGTTGCCATAATAACCTTGTTTTCTTAATGTTGGCAGCTTGTAGTTTATGGTCCCTTTCTCAAATGATATTTTTTCCAATTTATTTGCCCGCTAAGTATAACAACGCGAAATTATATAGCCTAAAGGTTGTCGTAAATGTAGGGCATTTTATCAAAGAAGTAATTATTCTAAAATATGCTGTGATTGCTAACATCCTACGCCACGAAGTACACGCCTTTTTACTCTTTATTATATTAGTATAGAAGTATAGATTGAATGTCAAAATCAAGAGGCAAAATGCCATCGATCAAAAAAGGAGACGGAATCGGTAGCAATTTCTAAAGGAGAAATTTATAGGCAACTTTACTAAATTTTAGTTCCCTCGAGTAAACCGTTTCATAATTTGTTCTAAATAACTTAAGAAGTAAAATTTGATATAGCAATATAAACTTCAAGGTAACATAGTAATTAAGTTGATAACCAACAAATCCGTACTAACTCGGGTATTAAAGTAATCCATTCGCAAATGCATAATAATGGATCCCGTAACAACGTTGTATCTAAGCAACAAAACATGGACCGTTTAAAGCCTCATACAACCAACCAACATTACTCAAGCCGTGGATTAGCAAGAAAAGTTTTGTGTTAAGAAGCCATATAACATTTTACAAACTTAATTACCCTTATATTTTCATGTTAACGTTCCGCACCTGGTTAAGCTTGCTATACACTTTCAGTTAAAACTGTACAATTTAAGTGACAGTTAAAATAATTGACTGTTCCATTAAAATTGAAGTTCCATTAAAAAGAAGATGGTTTACTATCGCTTTTTAATTTTAACAAGAGGAAATTCACTAAAGACTGCTGCAGACGTTCAGTTTAGTTAACTGTTGACAGTTTAAATGTTCAGTTAAAGTTAGAATTGTCATTTAGAACAGAACGTATGTAGCGGGCTTTACATGTTTTTAAATATGCCTTTGAATTTGTACATAATTCTGTTGGTTCGATTTCTAAGTTAACTAATTCGATTGATTTTCTTCTTACCAATATTATAAATTCGACAGTTTAGATTGATGGATGGATGTTTGTTAGAGTTTGCAGGTTAAACCGCTTAATGGATTTCAATGAAATTTGGAATAGAACTAGAGGAAGGTCTGGAAGAACACATATGCTTCAACTATACTACATTCCAATACGACACTAGTATACTCTACATAATATTTTAACAACGCACCCGCGGACAAACCACTCATATAGTTATTGCGGGGCCATATTAGTGTTTATATTTAACTTGTGTTTTTGTAATTTTTTTAATAAATAAATACCTTTTTTTTATTCACGCGCAGACGGAGTCACGGGTTAAAGTTACTACTTTTGTAGTCACATCATCGAGACGAATACTCGTGCGTGTATTTTCTACACCAAGAGGCAAATAATAGTAACTAATGACTGGCACGTTTTATTTACTTTTAAAAGCCATGGATAAATAATTAAAAAGTAATACGTAGTTAAATCACGCGTTAATTACTTCATAACACTAGAGTCTGTGAATGCTAAACTAAAAGTTCCACTAACATAACTTTTTCATACACACTTCGCCCATTTGCAGCTCTCGGTGTTATTAAATTTTAATATATTACAAAGTAAAGTTGTGTGAATGAAATTTTAATAGGCGATTTTAATTAAAACTATTTTAATTATAAATGCTAATGTTTGGATACGTGAATGGATACTTCGTATCTCAAAAGGGCTTAACGGGTGTCTATGAAGTACATATCTAGATTATAATCTGGAAACATCTATATGCTACTTGCTAAGTTTTTTATAATGCTACGCGAACATATTCGCGGGCAAAAACTAGTTGATAGTAATTCCAAATGTAGTCGTCTATAAAATAAACTTTGTGATAGTTTAGACAACCGAGTTTTGTAGATTTATATAGGATATATTTTTTAGATTATTATAGGAAATCAAAAAAATATTAAGGAATAAGAAGGAGCCTATAAACTAGACATAAAGTTAAATACAGGGACGAGAGCAAACCAAACTTTTTTTCATACTAGCAGTAAATTATGTAAGGATTTAAAAACAAACCATAAAACATGTCCAATAGCAATTTGATGCCAATAACCTCAAGAGAAAAAACTCGTGAAACAAACACTTTTTTAACCTTAAAACGCCCTTAAGTACAAACGTTATTGCTTACCCGCAACATTAAAATACAACTTGTTTAAGAAAAAAAACATCGAAGAGTCCCTATAGAAATTTATTATCGATACGAATGCCCGGACGTCAATAAATATGTATATGACAGCGTTTTGGGGTTTGGGGAATAGAGAAATATGTAAAATATTCAACGGTGGACCCAAAAATGAAATAAATAATACATTATTCAAGAAACGGCACGAAACAATAGATACATTGGCCGTGTGTAACTACGACTCAAGGACTACACGGACTGAAGAGCTATTTCTATTATGCATATTACTAGCTTTTGCTCGCGACTTTTTCCTCGCGGAATTAACACAAAAGAATAACAATAAAACCTGTATTACTCAGTAATAATGTAGCTTTTTTACGGTGAAAGAATTTTTGATATCGACTAATTAGTTTTTGAGTTTAACCCAAAAAAATATATCTTCATGATTTCATACTTCATACTAATATTATAAATGCGAAAGTTTAGATGGATGGATGGATAGTTGGATGGACATCCATCCTAACAAATGTTTGTTAGAGTTTGTAGCCTAAACGGCTGAACGGATTTCGATAAAATTTGTCATAGATGTAGAGGATAGTCTGGAAGAACACATAGGCTACTCACTTTTGTTTTTTTTTAATTCCACGCGGACGGAGTCGCGGGTGAAAGCTAGTTAGTACATATAGATAATCGTCTCATATATTACAGTTTTTATTACCGAAAATTTTATTACAAAAATACAGATAACTATACTAACAGTTTCTTAAAATCTTTTTTTTTTATGCAATTGGACCGAGCCTTTAGTGATTCTTGACGCTTGAAATCGTGAAGCTTAATCAGAGAGACTTAAGAAAGTTTTTAATAGTTTTAATATCATGATGTTTAAAATAGTCTGTGACTAAAATATCTAATAAGAAGCTCTACTATCTATAAATAAGTCACTTGTATTCACAACCTACAAAAATAAACGATAAGGGTAGAGTATAACAATATTCGCCAATAATGTAATAGAAATCGAGACACGCTATGCTATCGGTACAACACTCTCGATCTATTTTTAATGACTCCCTACAGGAAAACTATTTTATTTTCGAGTACATCGTTATTTGTTGTTAGAGTGTATTAAATATCGATTAGATTTGCAGTATGACAACGGAAAAAGTTATAAATAATTTACTCTATGTATAGCTTTCGCCGGCGATTCAAACGCGTAGAGAAACAAAAGAAAGTAGGTTATGTGTTCTTCCAGATTATGCTCTACATCTGTGCCAAATTTCATCGAGATCCATTTAGTCTTTTAATATACAAACTCTAACAAACATCCATCCATCCAAACATTCGTATTATTCTAATTATACTAAAACTAATATTATGCGATATATTAAAAAGCGAATGTTTAGATGGATGGATGGATGGATGTTTGTTAGTTTGCAGCCTAAACGGCTAAACGGATCTCCATGAAATTTGGCACAGGTTTAGAACATAGTCTGGAAGAACACATAGGCTACTTTTTATGCCGGAAATAGTTATTTTTGGTTCCCGTGGGA